GTTGTAATGTGACAAAATATGGAAAAGTTCAAGGGGTATGAATACTTTTGCAAACCACTGTAGTATTTCCCTGTAAAAATGTTTGTTTTGGTGACCAGATAATAAAAAAATAATCTCTTGTTAAACTTTATTGGTAATCGTTAATTTGAACTGAGCCATCAGGTGGCCCACAGCCATGCTGCTTTGGATCTGATTTGAAAAGTGAATAACTGTTTCTCCTAACGTTTCCTCCTCAAGCAGATTCAGACGCTCACAGCACCACCTCCAGCATGTCTCCGGCTCAGTCTCCCAGCTACAGCAACCAGTCGGACGACGGCTCAGACGTGGAGTCCAAACAAAGGCGCTCGGCTCCGTCCATCTTCTCTTTCTTGGATCGTTCCTACTGGAAAAGGCAAGAGAGAAAACTGAACTTGACAGAGATTTTTCTTTTTTATATTTGTGAGATTAACCATTTTCCCCCCCTTCTTTTAGGCAAAAGGTTTGTTGTGGGATTATCTACAAAGGTCGGTTTGGAGAGGTGATTATCGATCCCCGGCTCTTCAAACCCTGCTGCAGCTCGAAAAAGCAGAAGTCTCTGGCGCCCGCACAGGTGTCCACACTTCCTCCACAGCTACCAGAAGACACAAATGCCGGTGAATGCTTTTGTTGAATTCCCTCCGTGGGGCTATTCGTGGCATCCACCTGGATTTGTCTCCAGTGGCAGACCTCATTTCTATTCTCCCTTTTAGATCAGTTCATGTCTATTCATTTGTTTTCATATGGGTATTTTTAAACTTATGTATAGAGTTGAGTTATTTGTTTTATAAAAAGAAGAAAAAAGAAAAAAAACTTTGGGGCATTAGTGTTATTTATAGGATTAAGGACACAAATGTTAAAAGTTTAATTCTTTTGTTTTGAATTGTTTTTGTTGATTAAGTGATCARTTATTTGTAAATATTGACTTATTTTGCATATCAGAACTGCTCGATTTTATGAAACTGTATAAAAGACACCAGCATTTTCTAATACCAGCATTTTTGTTGTTGCTGAAGTGGGTCTTCAGCTCCTTGCTGCAATGTTTTTTCTATGTGATCCTTTATACATTTATTTTTTTAAGTACACAAATGGCTTTTTAGTAACACCAGGGATAATTGGCAAGTGTCATTTAATTGTTCTAATGTGTAGATGAGGRGTGTTATCCCATGAACATATACACAGCTTTAGCATGCCACAAGTTTAAAACACTTATTTTTTACTTGTTCAGCCGTTTGTGCACATTGTGGTTAGAGCGTGCATGCAGTACACCCTCCTCTTGTTGGAAAAAAACAGGTGATTTTATTTGTGTTTTGTAAAGTCTCAGCTGAAATGACATTGTGTGTTCTAAAGCAAACGGTTTTAAAAGTTTTGTAAATATAGCATTTTGGCTCATGGTATATTCCAATCTTTTTTTTTTTTTAATGACAAAAACAGCAAACCACTACATGTGAAAGGTGTGGGGAAACAATTACGCTAAGCTAGTTTGATCACGTTCCATTTTCTCAGGCATATTTCCCTTAAAGCTTGTGCTGCAGCTCTTTGCTCCGTGCAGTCGTGCCGTTAACTACAACCGGAGAAGCCGGACATCTGACTTCTYTTTTTAACGATTCCCTCATATTTTAATGCTCTTAGAAGAATGTGTTTGTCAAAAGAAGCAATTGTCAACATTTCAAACTATGCAGACATTTTGAATGTGAGGATTGCTTTGGGGCTTTCTATCACTTTCTCTTTGAAGATGGTGATGGATTTTTTTTAAATAACCAAATTGGCTTGTAAAAAGCTTTTTTTTCTCTCAGCAATAATGTTACATGATCAAGTCATTTTCTCAAAATGTTATGTATGCCATGTTAAAAATAATGCTCTTATTGCACAGTTCTTGTCATGGTGTAAACTGTCACTGCAGTGACGACGGTTGATTTAATTTTTTTCTTTTTTATTTACATTTTGTAACCAAACTAAATGAGTTGATAGACATTATTCTGTAAAGTTGCTTAATATATGTAAACTGTTCTGCGGCAGGGTAGATAAATGCTGAACTTTTWAAAAAATGATTCTTATTAAAAAGGACATGCTGCTTCCTTTTTAGCTGGAAAATAAGCTGTTTTTGTATCCTTAGGGAGATGCCATATTTTTTGCGAGGTACATTTTGAGATGCAAGGTGTGCCTTATTGAATTACCTGACCTTTCCATTGTGATTTGTTTGTAATTTATATTTATTTATTAACGCAAKCTTTTTTTAACTAAAATTTTGAGGTAATTGGTGTTGAGCCTTTTCAGAAAGTTCTTTTTTTATGTGCACTTCCTTTGAACGTGTATGTTTTTTGTATACTGTACCACAAAGTAGAACTGTATAATAAACGTTGACCAAAAAAATGTTCCTGTGCACTATTTATTTGTTCCTGCAGATGGTGGGCAAGAGCAATTCACCTTTTAACCAACAAAGAAAACATACAGAATGTAAATCTAAATAAACTTTTTTTTTAAATAGACTAAAATTAACATTTAACACCAATGTTACAC